GCAAAACATTGTGTTCTGGCTGGATGGGGCTTTTCAGTCTTGGCTCCGGCCCCTCATCGCTGTGTGACCGTGGACACATTTCATCGTTCCTCTCGTTTTGGTCTCCTCGTTTTCAGACCTTAGGGTAATGGTTCCTACCTCCGAGGTCTGTTGTGTTGATTGAACGAACCGGTGCACGAGAGCTCTGGGAGTTACACGGCACTCCCCACATGTCGGCAGCATCAGATCATTTCTGCTCAGGACAGGCTGGCTCCTCCCAACAACTGCCCTCGCAGGCCACTCCCTCCCTCCTGGCTGTGACCAGGGGCGAGGCCCCCTGCCTCCTCTTCATGCTGAGCTTGGGGCCCTCAGCCATCTCTGGCCTGGAGCAGGCAGAACTCCTGGCCTTCACACATGCTACTCCCTCTGCAGGGAAGGCTGCCTTCTGGGGACAGGCAGCTCGGTTTTGGACGTCAGCATACAGTCTACAAACCCTTCCCCCAACATCGACGTAAAAGGCGGGCCCCAAATTCTTTATGGAGCATAATCATTTATTTTTAATGATAAGAAAAAAAATGATTGGCAGCATTTTTCTAGCGTTTGATTATTTTATCTTGTTATTTCTGACAAGTTGTTTGGGATGACACATCTGAAAACTTTCTTCCTGGTTGGTGTGTAGGAGAGAAGTTTTACTATGAGTCTGCTGTTCCGAGATTGTTTAACCAGCAATGCCTTCTAATTCATTTATTTCTATTTTTCCTGTTAGAAACCAGTTCGTTGGGAGAGATCTCCTTTCAGACAGTCCTGCTTGCTGCATGCTTGGCCATGTCTGCCTGTGCAAGGTAATTCCGATTCTAGCTTCACGCGGTGGTGATTCATAATGAATGAAGCTGTAAGTGATGGGTGATTCACTTGCTTTATTCCACAAAGCATTTCCAGGTAGCTCTGTGGTCGGGGTGTTATCTTTGTCTCTCCCTGATAAATGCTTCCTCCTCTCATCATCTCCCAAAGCATACAAAAGCCAGGGTATCTTGCTAGAAATTGGAGGTTACTATGTATCATCCTTCGTTTAAATCCTCTGTGACTCTTGGTTACAAATTCAGACCAAGTACCTCTGCCTGGAGTTCAAGGGCACTTAAAGTTCCCACTAGGGGACTGGGAATCCTGCTGGGACTCCACCGTTCCCGTTGTATTTTTATGTCCTCACATAAAGGCTCTGTTCCAGGGATGCCTACGCAGCATCTCAGAGCACATAATGCCCTCGCCCGATTAAAGGCAGGTTTCTGTTCTACCCGCTGTCAAGCATGTCCTTCCTGTCCTTCTCTCGCCCGAGTCTCCAGGCCAGTGATCACATCCCTTCTGTGCTGAGCCCACTCGTGCCCAGTGCCTTTGCACTTGCTGTTTGCTCTGTTGCCTGGTACAGTCTTTTCCCCAAAGCCTCATAATGTATCTCTTTCCGGAATCTGTTCCAACGTCACATCGTCAGGGAGCCCTCCCCTGACCACTCCCCATCACACAGACCTCACTTTACTTTTCTTTAGAGCACTTATTAAACGTTCATGTGTATAAGTGCTAATGACTTCTTTCTCCCTATAAGAATGGGAACTCCGCGAGAGCTGAGACGTGGCATGTCTCCTTCACTACTGCATCCCCAGCCCCAGGCGCTCATCAGTATTTGCCGAGTCAGCAAAAGAGGAAGGCATGGCACAGTCCTGGGGTCCTCGCAAGTGCTACTTGCTCTCCCCTCTTCAGGGTCAAGTGCCTCATGTCACGTAGTGGAATTGTGTTTTTCTTTCTTTTGTTTTTTGGTTTTTAAATATATTTATTGATTTTTTACAGAGAGGAAGGGAGAGGAATAGTCAGAAACATCGATGAGAGAGAAACATCGATCAGCTGCTTCCTGCACACCCCCAATTGGGGATGTGCCCACAACCAAGGCACATGCCTTTGACCGGAATCGAACCTGGGACCCTTCAGTCTGCAGGCCAACGCTCTATCCACTGAGCCAAACTGGCCAAGCCAGGGGAGTTGTGTTTTTAAATCCAGCATTCTCGATCCCATCCCCTCAGATAGTGATTTAGATCTAACGAGAATCAATGTTTGGAAATGAGCTTCCCGGATAATTACGAGGTTTGAGAAGTATTTTTAAATCACAATGGGACCAAGGGACAAAAATGGGGGGGAGGTCCTGTGGCTAAAAATAAACTTGCCAGCTCCTGCCCCCTGTGTCACACGGGAGGATCATGATGTGCCGCAGCGCGCAGGCCAGGGCGGAGTAAGGCAGAGAGAGACACGTTTGGCTTTATTTACCTCGGCGCTTCCTAAACCTGCTTGGTCCTGGAGCCCCTTCCTTTTATGTCACAGGACTGTTAACGGAACATTCCTCTTAAGTTAATTTCTATAGACACGCCTCCCGCTTAAGAGGGGAGCTTAGCCCTCGCCGGGGTGGCTCAGGGGATAGAGTGTCAGCCTGCAGACCAAAGGGTCCCGGGTTCAATTCCAGTCAAGGGCACCTGCCTTGGTTGTAGGCTTCTCCCCGGCCCGGGCCCTGGTCCAGGGCTTACAGGCAGCAACCAATGGATGTGTTTCTCTCACTTCGATGTTTCTCTCTGTCTTTCCCTCTCTCTTTCACTCTCCCTAAAAATTAATGGAAAAATATCCTTGGGTGAGGAATAACAACAATAAAAAAAAACCCAAACAAACAAATAAATAAAACT